AGAGTGCTATGGCATCATAGCTCACAGCAACCTCAAACTCTTGGGCTCAAGTGATTCTCTTGCCTCAGCTTCCCTAGTAGCTAGGACTACAGGCGCCCGCCACGACACCTGGCTGTTTTGTTTTGTTTTGTTTAGCAGGCCCAGGCCAGGTTTGAACCCCACCAGTCCCAGAGAATGTGGCCAGTGCCCTAACCACTGAGCATGGGCGCCCTTATTTAACATTCTTGAAATAATAAAATCACAGAAATGGAAAACAAATTATGGTTTATTTGTTTATGCCAAGGGTTGCGAGAGGGTTGGGGAGAAGAAAGCAGATGTGGTTAGAAAGGGGTAATAAAAGGAATCCTTGTGGTAATGGAATTCTCTATGAGCTTACTGTGACAATGTTAATACTCTGGCTGTGATATTATGCTATCATCACATAAGCTCTCACCGTTGGGGGAAACTGGCGAAAGGATATAGGGAATTTATCTGTATTATCTTACAACGGCATATAAGTCTATAGTTATTGCAAAAAAACCCATATGAAATACATTTAATTAAAAAACATGAAATAGGCTTGGCGCCTATAGCTCAGCAGCTAGGGCGCTGGCCACATACACCTGGGATGGGGGGTTCAAACCCAGCCTGGGCCTGCCAAACATCGATGACAACTACAACAAAAAAATAGCCGGGCATTGTGGTGGGTGCCTGTAGTCCCAGCCACTTGGGAGGCTGAGGCAAGAGAATCACTTGAGCCCAAGAGTTTGAGGTTGCTGTGAGCTATGACGGGACAGCACTCTACTGAAGGTGACATGGGGAGATACTGTCTCAAAAAAAAAAAAAATGAAATAGATTTCAACCCTTATATTAACTTTAATTTACATTTTGAAAAATATTATTTAAAATTTTATTTGATACTATTACATTTGTTTTAATCTTTGAGAATTAAAAATTACAAAGTGATAGTAAGAAGAAAATACTGGCTGGGTATGGTGGCTCACAACTTGCAATCCCAGAACTTTGGGAGGCTGAGGTGGCAGGGCCAGTTGCATTCAAGATCAGCCTGGGCAACATAGCAAGACCCTGTCTCTAAAAAATTTCTTTTAAATTAGCCAGGCATGGTGGCGTGTACCTGTAGTCTCAGATACTCAGAAGGCTGAGGTAAGAAGATGGACTGAGCCCAGTTTGAGGCTGCAATCAGCTATGATTACACCATTATACTCCAGCCTGGGCAACAGAGCAAGACAAGATCCTGTCTCAAAAACTAAACAAACAAACGAAAAATAAATATTAAAGTAGAACTCAGGGGGAAAAAACTGAGAGGAAAGAAAAAAAATTTTTGTGTGTTTTTAGTATTTGTAATTATGTTTTATTTATTAGTAATTTGCCCATTACTAATAAATAAACATGAGAAAGACAATTATTTTCATCAAATCCACAACCCAACAGGGTCATCTGAAATCCCTAAAACTTGATATCCTTTACTAGATATTTAACTACTGATCAGGACATTTCAAATACACACTGAGCCTCCCTCTGTGTTCTGACCCCAGGCCTTGCAAATGGGAGCAGTCTGCCTGTGTCCTCCTTCCCACTGTTCTCTTGTAAGGTACGGCTGCGACAGCAACGATGAAAGGGACTACACTGTTTACATTAGCTACTCCCAGAAACTAACTCTGTTTTACATAGAAACACAAAACAGTCTTACCCAGCATTAGTGAATCTTCTAAGAAGGCAACTAACATGTAAATCAAAGGAAGAGAGAGTACCTTGCTTTATTCAAAAGTTTACCTGAGTTGTCAGCATTTTAGAAAGTCACTGGTGTCAACACTGCACCATGGTATTTGAATTCTCAACATCACCCCTCTGAGTCAGTCTCATTTGGAGGGTCCGGACCAATAGTGATCTCCACTCATGTACAAGTATCTACCTGTCTGCTAAGGAGGTAGTGCAAACATTTCACATTGAGATGTTACTTTACTACAAAATTGTCTTTTATTTCTACTCTACATCATAGTTAATAGGGCATTATACTGATTTTTTCCAGTACGATGAATTACATTTTAGGATATTAATGGCACGTTACAAATTAGTCACTCTAAAGGGGGCAGTACACTCTGCCACAGCACCCTCAGAACACGCGCCCAGCTCCTTTCTCCTTGACTGTTCTCACCCAAGGCCAACCACAGGAAATAACCATGGGCAATTAACAACAACAAAATCCAAGGCCGGCTAATAACAAGGCCACCTTCAGGCAGGAGCCAAAGCGGAATATTGTACCTTATGCTTTAGTGCCCTTCCCTCCCACTCTCACCTTGGCTGATGCAAAAGAAAAAAGTCCTCTTCCCTTCAACTGAGCATCAAGGGGAGGCCCTGTCATATACACATGCTAACAGAATCCCTTTCAATTTTCAGTTCTGGACAAACACAACCTTCCCTCTGTAAAGACGGATGATCATAGAAAAACCACCAAATCTATATGGTAAGTTTTGGAAGTTCACAAGGATTCTAGGTAAATATTCAGCCACAAAACAAGGCTACTCGGAGAAATGGGAGCTGGCAGAGAGTCTCTAATTTGCATTCTCATTGAAATGCAATACGATTTTATAGTTATGAAGGTAGAGCAAGAAGAAATAATTTGAAATCAGAGGAGTTAGAATAAGGTTAAAAACACAACGGTTGAAGTAAAGAAATATACAAAGCGAAGCATATGAGATGATAAACTTTAAAAAATCAGAGGATGAATGAAATGATCAGAAGAATCAAAGAAAACACGTTACGGGGAAGACACGCCTAGAGAACAAATCTTCACACAGTTTAATTTCCTGAAGGAGACTCCAGGGTAAAAAGAGAAGCAATAAGCACAGTAATAACAAAATCGCTAGAAGGAATTTAATAAAAGCCATCACCCATCCGGAGTAACAATCTAAGTAGAATGGGAAGAGAGGACTTAGCCTGCAAAACAGTATCTCAAGACCAAACTCTGCATCGTATTTAATGACAAATCACCAAAGCACCCACAGTAAAGTGAGAGCAAGTCCAGGATGTTACTAGTATGTAACACAACTGGGGTCACAAACACAAAACAGCAGGAAACAGAAAATAAAAGGAAGGAACGCAGGAGACAAACGGCATTGTTACCTGCAGCTGATATTAACTGTCCACTTGGAAAACATAAGAGGATCAACTAAAAACCATGAGTGCTAAGAGAAAGTAAGTAGCTACTAACTAAACTTACTCATTTAAAAATTATCTACATAAGTCCATCGTGGTGGCTCACACCTGCAACTCTAGCACTCTGGGAGGCCAAGGTAGGTAGGTTGCTTGAGCTCAGGAGTTTGGAAAGCAGCCCGGCAAGATCCAGATCCCATCCCCACTAAAAATAGAAAAACAGCCAGGCATTGTGGTGGGAGCCTGTAGTCCTAGCTACTTGGGAGGCTGAATGAGAAGATCATATGAGCCTAGAAGTATGAAGTTGCTGTGAACTATGATACCACAGCACTCTACCCAGAGAAGCAGAGCAAGACTCTGTCTCAAAAATAAATAAATAGCTGGGCATGGTGGCTCACACCTGTAATCCCAGCACTTGGGAGGCCAAGGCCAGTGGATTGCCTGAGCTCACAGGTTTGAGACCAGCCTGAGCCAGAGCAAGACCTCGTCTCTAAAAATAGCCGGACATTGTAGCAAGCACCTGTAGTCCCAACTACTTGGGAGGCTGAGGCAAAAGAATCACTTAAGCCCAGGAGTTTGAGGTTGCTGTGAGCTGTGACACCATACTCTACCAAGGGTGACAAAGTGAGACTCTGTCTTAAAATAAATAAATTGAGCTTCTGACAGTGTGTCATTTCTGGCAGTCCAAAGGCCAGTGGTGCAAGGGGGCAGCATGATGGGTTACAGACAACACAGGATGGATAAAAATAAGCATCTCCATCTAAATGGGTTACAGACATCATAGGATGGATAAAAAAAAAAAAAACAAGGTTCAAGATAAGAATCTGCATGCTAAAGGAAGAATTCAGCTTTCAAATTAGACCAAAAGTATTTTCAATATTTTAAATAGCACATTTTGAATACAATGGCTAAACCATATGGGGTCTGACAATCAAGTTCACAAACTTGCCACCGTGTTCTTACATGGGCAGCACTGTACACAGAAGTAAGGGTTTCATAACCTTGCTGTATCAGCGACTCTCAATGACCGTGGTGCCGACGTGTGGCTGTGCCTTGCTGAGTGGTGTTCATTATGGGTGCACATTTCTGTGTGCCATCATGGGAATGTCGGAGCTCGAATTAAAGCAATGAACAAACATCAAATTTCTTGTTAAACTTGGCAAGAGTGGAAGTGAAATCAGGGACATTTTAGTCCAAGTTTATGGGGATAATGCCATGAAGAAAACCGCTGTGTACAAATGGATTAAATGTTTTCCCAAGGAGGGAGAAAGCGTCACTGAGGGAGAGAGATCAAGGTGGCCAGTAACAAGCAGAACTGATGAAAACACTGCAAAAATTCATCGAATCACGCATCAGAATTGTTGGCTGACTGAGACAGACAGGAAAATCCTAACTGAAAATCTTGGCATGAGAAAGATGTGTGCAAAAATGGTCCCAAAAGTCCAGAACTCTCAGCCATGGTCTCAAAGCAACCAGTCCAGGAAGCCAACCTCAGCCCCCATGTAACAATCAGCCTAGAACGGTCAGGACATGGTCAGTGCCCGCTGGCTTCCCCAGTTCTTGCCCCTGCTTCCTACTCAGGACCAACTGCATAAAGCCAGGTATGCTTCCCAAACTAATCCCGCAGGACACCCCACTTCTAGTTAACCTGCCTCCAACTTCCCTGTGCCAGCAACCCCAGTCAGAGCACACCTGAAGCCTCCCCTCTCACAATAAGGCTTTCCCAGGCTTCTGCCTGCCTATGAGTCTCTGTCAAATCCAAGTGATAGTGGCAAACTCTGAATAAATAAATAGTCTCTATTAAATAAATAAATAAAAATTATCTACATAAAAAATACAATGAGTGCTTGATTTGGCAGCAATTACACTAAAACTGAAACAAAAAGAGAAGATTAGCCTCACCCTTGAGTAAGGATGACACTCAAAGTCAGGAAATGTTTCAGATTTTAAAAACTTAGAAAAGATAAATACAAGAATCAAAGACTCTCATTCACAATAAGGGGGAAAAATTACAAAATGAAGGCATAAACTTGACAAAAGAAAGGAAGGGAGGGAAGGGGAGTAGGAGGGAAGAAGGGAGGGGAAAAATAAACAAACTTTAAGAAGACAAAAAAAGAAGAGAGGACGTGAAGACCTGAAGGGAAGCTGAGTTTCTGGGCGGGAAGGAAGACTGGACAAAGATGTCAATTCTTGGGAAAGACTCAGTGAGAGTTCTCACCTCTCTACACCACACGTGCTCAGGGAGGACCCAGAAAGCCGCAGCCCCCAAGTCAATGCTCCACCTTGTGTCTACCCAGAAAGCCAGAGAAAACCCTCAGCTCAGTCCAAAGCCCTGACTAAACCGGGGACTCCTGACCAACACAGGGCCACGAAACCACCCTGTGTATCATCCAGCTAAAAATTCAGCACCAAACGAGGATGGAGTTTGTAACATCCTCATATCTGGGTTCAATCCGATACCACCAGAAGTTAAAACCCATTTCTGGTCCATCCATGGATGAAAGGTAAAAACAAAGTGTGCCTAGCCATACACTGCAGCCTTAAAAAGGGAGGACATTCTTACAAATGCTACAACATGCATGGATCTGGAGGATGCTGGCTACGTGACATAAGCCAGTCCCAGAAGGACAAACATTACATGATCTCACTTGTACACAGTGTCTAAAACAGCAACAGAAAGCAGAATGGTGGCTGTCAAGGGTGGGCAGGGAAGGGGACACGGGGAGTTGCTGCCCTGTGAGTTTCAGTTATGCCAGATGACAGCAGTGTAGAGATCTGCTGTAGGACCTCTGTCCCTAGTTAACAAAACTGCATTAAACACTTAAAAATGTGTTCAGAGGGGCCGGGCACAGTGGCTCATGCCTGTAATCCCAGCACTCTGGGAGACTGAGGTGGGTGGATTGCTTGAGCTCAGGAGTTTGACACCAGCCTGAGCCAGAGCAAGACCCTGTTTCTACTAAAAATAGAAAAACTAGCCAGGTGTTTAGCAGACACCTATACTCTCAGCTACTCAGGAAGCTAAGGCAAGAGGATTGCTTGAGCCCAACAGTTTGAGGTTGCTGTGAACTATGATGACATCATAGCACTCTCCCCAGGCCAACAGAAGTGAGGCTCTGTCTTTAAAAAAAAAAAAAAAATTTAGGCTCAGCGCCAGTAAGCTCAGTGGCACCAGTCACTACACAGGGACTGGCAGATTCCAACCCAGCCTGGGGCCTGCTAAACAACAATGACAACTACAATAACAACAACAACAACAAAAAATTCCAGGTGTTGTGGTGAGCACCTATAGTCCCAGCTACTGGGAGGCTGAGGCAAGAGAATTGCTTGAGCCCAAGAGTTTGAGGTTGCTGTGAGCTGTGACACCACAGCACTTAACCCCAGGGTGACATAGTGAGACTCTGTCTCTAAAAAAAAAAAAAAAGTTAAATGTAGAATAAAAGTTGAAGGAAAATGAAAATACAGATTGTTCCCAACCTAGAGTGGCTCAACTTTTTTGACTTTAGGATGGTTCAAAAGAGAAACTCATTCAGTAGAAACTGTTGAGTTCCCATACCACCACTCTGCCTTTCACTTTCTGTACAGTATTCAACAAATTACATGCAATATTCAGCACTTTATTATAAAACAGGCTTTGTGTTAGATGATTTTGCCCAACTGTGGGCTTATGCAAATGTTCTGAGCACGTTCAAGGCAGGCCAGGCTAAGCTGTAATGTTCAGTAGGTCAGGTATATCAAATGAACTTTTGATGTAATGATATTTTCAATTTAAGATGGATGTATTGGGAAACAGTGCCATCATGACTTGAGGAGTATCTGTACTGAATCTAAAATGTGGTTTTCTACCACAAACTACACTTGCCAATAAATGGTCCCTCTAGAATTAAGAAAATGACAACAACAAATACATTTTCCTGACGTTCTGTGACTTTGCAAGTTCTCATCTCCAAACAGGCCTTGCCCCACATCTGCTTCACGCCCCTCCCTCAATTCCCAGCACCTGCTCCGGGCCCTGTGAAATCAGCGTGTTCATGGACTGACCTCATCTCTGATGTCCCCTCACTTCCATGCCTGGACAACTCCTACCACGACCTTTTCAAGCCAGTCTGTTCCTTTTCTGACACTTCCTGGACCTGCAGGCACAAGGTGGCGGAGGTGGCCCTCCCAGCCCCCACTGTCTCCTTCCTTCCATGCTGCTAAACAAATATCCTCCATCTCTGAAGTTCATGTAGCAGTGGCTGGCACCCCCTTCCCCTCCAGGTTGTCATCTACTGAGCCCCACCCCAATCTCTCAGTTCAACCATATCCCTGGCTCATGGTGCTCTTCCTGTAGCATTTGAGGGACTCGCCCACCCTCTGGACTCTGAATTCCAAGACCTCCAACATCCTTTTCCTCTGCACTAACCCCAGCAAGCCGACCCATCTGTGGTTTTCTCTCAGTCTGTTTCCTAACCTACAAGTCCTGGTACTGATATTTAATGAACATGGACTTGGACGGTCTGCTCAATCTCTCTGTGCCTCAGTCTCCTGATCTATAATGTCGGAACAATAATAATACAATATTATAAGGTTGTAGTAAAGACTGAAGGAGACAATACTTCTGGAGTTCGTAGAAGAGTGGTTAGCAAATAGTCAGCAAAGAATGTTCACCACTGGCGGCAGTGATGCTACTACAGGTGAAGATGATGGGGGAGAAAACAAGCCTTCCTGCCTGCAGCAAAGAGCATAGCAGAACAGAAAATCCCAGAGGCAGACCCTGGGTTTGAATTTGGGAACACTGTCTAACTCACTTGAGCCTCTGCTTCTTTACCTGTGAGATGGTGATAAGAACATTTACCTCCTGTCGTAGAGGACTTAGCCAGATAGAAACTCAGGATTTTCCCTTCCTGTGTCAGGGAGGACAGGAGTCTTAGGGTGGAGCCTAAGTATCACCTGGGTATCATGTATAATGCGAGAGCAGAAAGAAGGCAACGCATGGGGCTCTCTATCAGCGAGGACATGGACACTTTCTTGGAAGTAAGCTTGTTTTAACATTGGAATCACGACTGTTTTGCCCTTATTATGACCTGAGGTGGCTAAGATTCTGTAAGCATTAAAGCGGAGTTTGGCCAAAGTAACCCTGGAATTTAACATTTACTTTGGTTTAGCGGTTTATTTAACTTTTAGAAAATACTGAAATCAGTTTAAAATAGTGAAATTATTTTCAATCCCACCTATGCCAGATTCAGATGGTTCACTGGAGAATTGGGGGGGGGGGTAGCTGACAAGGAGTCAGCCACTAGGTGGCCGTCTTGCCCAACACACCGACCTGCTGCCTTCAGAGAAGCAGCACCGATTCATTCATTAATCCTCGAATATTTTTGGAACCATCTGAACGAACACTTGGTATATTGCCATTGCCAGTTTTTAAAATGTTCGCCAGTGCAGGCAGGCGCTGTCTCCAGAAGAGGTGAGCGTCCATTCAGCAGACCTCCCCTTACTCATCCCACTGCTAACACCAGCAGAAAATGCCCCCCACGACTATTCAACAGTCCCTCAGGACGGGCCAGCAATCCCACTCCGGGCGTAAGAAATAAGAGCAGAGTTTCGAAGAGATAACGTGTGCACTTATGTTCAGGACAGCATTCAGGACGGCATTGCTCACAATGGCCAGGGGGAATGGCTCAGCTGTCGCCAGCAGGTGAATGGGAAAGGAAAACGCAAACGCCGACAACCACACACCAGTCGGCCTCAGAAAGCCGGGAAACCCAACACCGGCTACACCGCGAGGAACCTGGATGTGACGCTGTCCCCGCGGACAGGCTGGGACGCGGCTCTCAGGGGCTCCCGGGGCAGAGGGCAGGGCGGGGAGCGAACCGGAGCTGGGGTTTAACCCACAGGGTCTCCGTTTTCCAAGGTGAGAGTCCTGGAGGTGGAGGGTGATGAGGTCGTGCCCAACCCTTCCCCCCACCCCACCCCCACCCCCGAGTCGCCACAGCTCATGAGGAGAGTTCAAACTCCATGCAGAGTCCGACCACCGCTCCCCGGACAGGCCCCTCCGTCTAGACCACGGAACCTCGCAAAGCCCCACAGTGAGGTCGGTGCAAATACCCAAAGTCCTGGCAAGGACCCGCCAGCCTCGCTCGTCCCGCCCGCCCCCTGCCCGTCCCTCCGCAGCTGCCCACCGGCCTCCTCGCTGCCCGCTCCGCCTGGGCCACCTTCCCGGTCGTCCGCGGGGCTAACCTCCACACCACCACCCCCAACGAAGCATCTCTGTCCCGCTCACTGACGGATCCCTTTGCCTAGAACAGCGCCAGGGTCGTGATGGCCATTCAAAAATATTTGAGGATTAAGGAATGAATCCGTGCGTCTTCTCTGAAGGCAGCAGGTCGGTGGGTTGGGCAAGGCTGCCACCTAGTGGCTGACTCCCCCCCTCCATTCTCCAAGATCTGCACCTGCTAATAAGATAAGATACGAACACCGAGCACCTCAGGGAGAAAAGCAGGAACCGGATACCTGACCAGATGCATGGAAGAGAAGCCAGGGAGAAAATGCGGACGCTCAGTGTGAAGCTAAACTCATTGACGTTTCTGAAGGGGAGTTTCCTATCTTTTTTTTTTCTTTTTCAATTTCAATAAAGTGTATGTTGGAACAGTACAGGGTGTAGGGCTGAGGAGAATGGGCAATTCTGATATAATCTGGAGGATCTCTATTCAGCCATAAAAAAGATGGAAACCGGGGTGGGTAGGGCGCTGGCCTCATATACCGAGGGTGGCAGATTCAAACCCGCCCCGGGCCAAACTGTAACAAAAAAATAGCCTAGCGTTGTGGCGGGCACCTGTAGTCCCAGCTCCCAGCTACTCGGGAGACTGAGGCAGGAAAATCACCTAAGCCCAGGAGTTGGAGGTTGCTGTGAGCTGTGATGCCATAGCACTCTACCGAGGGCAACAAAATGAGACTCTGTCTCTATTAA